CCACGTCCCCAAATATCGCCCCTCTGTGTCCCCACGTGCCACAGGGCCGGCATCAGGGTCCCCCCCCCCGTGTCCCCATACATCACCTCCCTGCGTCCCCATACGTGACCTCGCCACGTGCTGCAGGGGCAGCATCAGGGTGTCCCCACTACATCCCCATAGGTCACCTCCCTGTGTCCCCAAATATCACCTCTCTGTGTCCCCACGTGTCCATCAGGGTGTCCTCCCCCCCCGTGTCCCCATACATCACCCCTCCACATCCCCATCTGCCATAGGGGCAGCGTCACAGTGTCCCCTGTGTCCCCATATGTCACCCCTCTGTGTCCCCATGTGTCATAGGGGAGGCATCAGGGTGTCCCCTCCACATCCCCTTCCTGTGCCCCCATGTGCCATAGGGGTGACGTCAGACTGTCACCCTCTGCATCCCCATACACCACCTCTCTGTGTCCCCATATGTCACCTCCCCACGTGCCAGAGGTGCAGCATCAGGGTGTCCCCCTCTGTGTCCCCATACATCCCCCCTTTGTGTCCCCATACATCCCCCCTCCGGGCCCCCATGCCCCCCCAGGCAGCACCATGTCACCCCCTCTACGTCCCCAAACGCCCCCCCGGTCCCCCCCCCCCCGCGCCCCCCACTCACCCCCTCCCATCGCCAACCCCAGCAGCACCGAACGCCTCCTGCGCTCAGCCTGGAACAGAGCAGGGAAGCAGGAACGGACGCTGAGCTGCCGGCAATCCCCAGCAAAAACCCCCCTGCACAAACTGTCCACAGCCACGTCGGCCACCTGTTGGTGACAATGACACGAAGGAGGGGTGAGGGCGGCCCCCACCCACCCCCTGCGCCCCCCGATAAGGGTTATCACCCCCCTCCCAGGCGCCCACCTCTGCCCCGAAGCGGCGCCGGGCGAAGCTGTGAACGCTTTCGTCGGGTTCCGTCCCCATGGGCGCCAGCAGATCCTGCACTGCGCTCCATATCAGGGCCCTGGAGAAGGGGGGCACGGCCCGGAGGAGACCCCTGGGGGGAGGCAGAGAGGAGAATGGCGGGGGAGGGGTCCTACGTGGGTCCTTGGGGGGGACTTTCAGGGATCTCTGAGGTCCCCATGTGGGTTCTTGGGGGGTTGTGAGATCTTTGGGGCCTTTATGGGGGTCCTTCCAGGGGTTTTGGGTCCCTACAGAGGGGCTTGGAGGTCCTTAGGGCTGGTTAAAGGGGTCTGGGGGGTGTGGATGGGGTCTTGGGGGCCTCCATGTGGGAGCTGGGGGGGTCTTTGGGGATGGGTGGAGGGCTCTAGGGGGGTCTCGGGGTCCTTAAGGTGGCCTGTAAGAGATCCTGGGGGACAGCGAGGGGTTGCAGGGGGTTCTCAGAGATGGATGAAGGGATCCCGGGGGTCCCAAAGGGGGC